TTCTGATGCTAGCTCACAGTCTTGTGAACGGAACACTGCTTCCAACTGTGGTATGCAGGTGTTCCCCCTGCCCCCCTGCCAAAAAAAAAAAAAAAGATATGCAGGTCCAGTCCCTGGAACCTGTGAACATGTTATCACACATGGCTGAAAGGACTTTGCAGATAGCATTAATGTTAAGGGCCTTGAGATGGGAGATTGCCCTGGATTATCTGGCTGGGTTTAATGTGTTGTATCACATGCATCCTTAATACATGAGAACCTTTTCCAACTGTAGTCAGAGGGAGATGTGCCTGCAGGAGAATGGTCAGAAAGCTATACCGTTGCTGGTTTTGAAGATGGAGGAAGAAGCCATGAGTTAGGGAATATAGACGGATGGCCTCTAGAAACTGAAAAACATAAGAAAGCCAGTCTCTGCTTCTCCTTCAGAGCTTCCAAAAACCAATTCAGCCCTGTGGACACTGTGATATTAGCCCAGTGAGACCCATGTCAGGCTTCTAACCAACAAAACTGTAAGAGAAGTTTGTGTTGTTTTAAACCACCAAGTTTGCAGTAACTTGTTAAACAGCTACTGTAGAAAACTAACACACCCACAGAGTGACCTCTCAACAAAATTAACAAATGTTGAGAAGGGTGGAGAAGAATGAGCCTGAAAACAATTTAAGTAAGCTTATACATAAAGCTCATATTTTATCTCATAGGCTCATGTTTTATCTCATAGATAAGACATCCTGGCAAGCTTGTTTGCTTTGTTCATTTTCTTAGGAAACTTTTTTTTAAACATAAAGTAAAAGTAAACTTGATCCTAACTCCTGCCTAAATTATCTCAATTTCTAAATTTGCAACATGTAAAAATGAATTCTTGTTATTCTAGTGACATCAGTTAGATTTCAGTGTGTTTGACTAAAAGGTATAAAACTATATTTTCAATTCAGTTGTCTTTAAGAAAAACATGTGGCTAGTAATTCCTTTCTTCTTCTTTTTATAAACAATTGAAAAGGTTTTATCTAGCTCTTTTAGCCCCTCACCTTATCTAATAATTAAATATATTTGACCACTTACCATCTTCCAGAAAGTGTTCTGGGCCTGGTCTGGAATGATCTAAAAACTCACTTACATTATACTTTCATTTTCCCTTGTAAAATAAAGTACTGAATTTCTCCAACCTTTTTTTTTTTTTTTGCATTTAACATTGACGAGTTTATTTTATGAATGATATAAGCATAATAATTACCACCATGCATTAAACACTTGAGTATTGTGTACTGAGATGAGCATTTTATATACATTATATCATATATGCTTTTACCATTCTCACTGTAAATGCAAACAATAAAAGCACATTTTTTTAAAAAGAAAATCTAAAATGCCTCCAACTATAAGTAACATTTTGGTGAATAATTGTCTGTACATTTTCATATACTTACTTATATGCACATGTAGATATACAGAAATAGACAGTATACAGAAATTAAATTATGCTGCTTTGTAACCTACCTTTCCATTGAATTGTATATGGATATCTTCCCATATCAATAAATGTATATCTTCATTATCTTTAATGTGTACATAGTAATTGGCTAACTTGACACATCCCAAGTTATATAGTCAATCCACTATTACAGACAGGTTGTTTACAAAAATGTGTTACTATAAAAAAAGCTAATGAACATTCTTGTGTATATATCTTTTAGCACTTCCATTGGTCTTCTTAGAATAAATTCTTAGTGAAAGATTATTATGCTAATCTCCAACTTTTTATAATCAGGAAAATTT